ATATAGATTGCTTAAAAAATTATAACAGAGGAAATTGGGTTACATTTTCTATAAAATTTGGGATAACATAAAATATAGTATGGTTTCATAAAATTCTTCTTCTGTATAGTCTTACTAAATCTTAATCTTACATTTTTTACTTCAATAGATAAATTTACATGCTTAATTGTTCTGATGATGACCGTCCCTGGTCGAAACCGGTCAACAAAATAAAAATAATAATAATACTTTATTTAAAGAAGGTAACCTGATTAGTGCAGGCACTATTCTTCCCCAGGGCCCTCTGTCAATAAACATTATAAAGTTAACATAGTTATACAAATACAAACATATAATAAATACACTGTATATACATAAACATAAAAACACAAATAAATATGAATCACAAATTATTCTGACATTGTTTTACATAATGTTTTACTTGTTTCATGAAAGCATTGAGAGTTGGTGACATTTTTATATGTACAGGTAAATCATTCCATAACATGGCACCAGAGTACTCAAAGAAATTTCCAAAAATTTACATTGGCACACACAAGTCAACATTGGATTCAGATGGAAGATTGAATTGGTTATTACTTTGAAATTGAAACATGCCATTTAATAAGTAGGACAAGAATTAAACAGGGATTTATATAACAATACATATTTATTTACAGTAAGTTTTTCATAGACAGTTAGCAATTCAAGTTCATCAAAAAGAGGTCGCGAGGGTGCATCAGGGGGAGCATTTAAAATATACCTTACAGCACGTTTTTGAAGCTTATTGAAGCTTATGAACTCTGTCAAGATTTGATCGGGATGTATTGCCCCAAATTGTAAGGCAGTAATCAATAGTAGGCATGATATCTGCATTATAAAACAGCTTGTGTGTTTGAATGGGAAGATACTTTTTAATTCTTTGGAGGGCAGAAATTTTATGTGACAGCGATTTACACACATGGTCGATATGTACATTGTACTGTAAAGATTTATCTAAATATACTCCCAAGAATTTTTTCATGTGTTACGTTGTCTATTTTCTGATATGATATATGTATAAAGAGAAATCATGCTCTGAGAATTTTGATCTCTTCTGACGTGTGCTTATTAACATGCATTAAGTTTTTGAAGCATCAAGTACCATTTGATTCTGATAGCACCATTTTTCTATACAAGCAATATCCATTGATAAGGCATTTACAATAGATTGGGAATCTTCGCCGGGGAGTGGCATCATCAGCAAACAAATCTATGTTTGAATTTTTAATATAAAGTGGAAGATCATTAATGTAAAGTAAAAACAGAAGAGGCCCTAGTTTAGACCCCTGTGGAACTCCTGCTGTGACTTGCTGATAAGATGATTGTTTGTTAGACAGATGGACACTTTGAAGTCTGTCACTTAAATATGATCGGAACCACTGTAAAGTTATTTCATTAAAATCATAACACTGTAGCTTTTTAAGAAAAATTACATGATTTACTTGGTCAAATGCCTTACTGAAGTCAAGAAAGACAGTACCAACAAGTTTGCTTTGATCCATTTCATATAACCATTCATCTGTAATTATTGTTAGAGCTGTTTGACATGAGTGCAGTTCTCTGAAACCTGATTAAGATTCTATTTTTAATTACAAAATCAAAGTCTGAAAATAGAGATGGTATATATTTTGCCATATGTTTTTCTATAATTTTTGATAATGTCGGTAAAATAGAAATAGGTCTGTAGTTATTTGGATCTAGTTTGTTTCCCTTTTTAAAGACTGGTGTAACTTTGGCAAGTTTAAAACTCTTACGAAAACTCCCAGATGTAATACTAGTATTTTATTATATGGGTCACAGGTTTATGTATTATTTGTGCAGTAAGTTTTAAAAGACGTGAACCGACGGTATCTACACCTGATCATTTACTAACATCTAGCTTATTAAGTAAGGAAAGCACTTCATCAGGACTTATAAGCGGAATTCCAAACATTTCTGTACCCAATTTAGACTGTACAAAATTCAAAAGGCCCTTAAAGTCACACTCCTCTTTACTTACACCTTCAAGAAATTTAGCAGAGGCATTTTAAAAATGAGAATTCAACATCTCTGCAATTTCTTGTGTATCCTCTGTAACATTATTTTTTTTGTGCCAGTGCAGTCGGAATATAATTTTGTGGGGTAGAAGTTAATTTATTTAATGCATCCCACATCTGACGTGGATTTTTGTCTATAGTTGATTAATAATAATTAATTTTTGCATTTTCAATAAGTGATGTTACTTTATTTTGCCATATTCTCTAGTTTTCAAAGTCTTTATTTTTATGAAAGTTATTGCACATGTGCTGTGCTTCAAGAATTTCTTGGGTTAACCATTTTGGTCTTGGTGAATTAAAAAAAAATGACCACCAAACTGAATTTTTTTGGCAAAATTCAACTACATATAACATATTTTTCACTTGTATCATCATATTGCACATGCATTCTAGTTTAAAATCCTGAAGTGGCAATAGAATAGACAATTGGATTAAAAAGTTTCAGAATTCTTATTAGTAAATTTTCTTTTGAAAAAAGAAAATATCATTACACCCTTAAAGACTTTCTTAAATACATAATCACAAGAAATTATAGTTTTTTATCCTTAAAAATGGTAAAAGAGGTATAAATGATTAAATCTTGACCTTGAATGAGTATCTTCTCTTGTACATGTGACAAAAAATTGGCTTTTTGAGTGTTATTTTACATTATTTTTTCAATTCTGGTTTGAAAAGTTTTAATATGAAAAAAATATGAAGCAATAAAATTCCACAAAATTCACTTTTTTGTCCGTTCAAGTTAATTCTTTAAATCTAAGCCAAAAAAGAATTGTTATAAACGAGTTCTCTTACAAAAAATACAAGATTTTGAAGTGACCCTATGTTACATTATAGTGTTGCACTCCTGACATCTGATATGTATTTTAATTAACATTGTTTTAAGAATTATAACACATAATAACCCATTCATACTTTGTAAATCAATTTGTCGTGTTGATTTTTTTCATCGTTTACAGCAGGTTTTTCACATTTTGAAGACCTTAAAACATGATTATTTGCAAAGTGTAATATAAATAAATTTTATTTAAAATATATGTGACATGATTAAAACTATTCCCTGAATTGACTGTAAAATTTCTGTAATTTGTTGATAGACATAGTGTTTTGAACATCAAATAGTATCAAGCATTTTTTTCAACTTATTTTTTAGTAAAGATAGTTAAAAAGCATTGGTAATTATAAAGCAGTTTTGTTGCACTCCTGACTGCAGTAAAATTGAAAATTAAAACCATAGAACACAAAAATTCATAAAGTGTTGGCAACATCAAGTGATAATGAAATTGTGCAATATTCATAGTCCAATACTTCATAATTAAAACAGATGAAAGTATTAAAATTCGCATTTTATCTGGAATTATACCCTATTTTATACCAAAAAACTAGCTTAAATGTATATCTAAAAGATAAAATATATTTTAAAGCATATTTTCCTTTAGAGAACAAACACAGTAACCCTCCAGAAAAATTCTACTCATCACTTTTTCTCTATTTTTATTCTTATTGGATGATTTATAATTCTAACATATTTGTTGCAATCCTGACCAAAAGCATTGGGGCCTTTAAAGTAAAATTGTGAAGTGAAAATTACATAAGAACTTTTTCTGTTGTTTCAGTGAAGTTGAGGAGGAATAACTTGAATTTATTGACAATGTTTTACTGTGTTTATTTTTAACGTTCATTAAAAAAATCATAAAAAAGATAAAGACACATCTGAATTGATAAAATTGAAAAATGAAGGATTTTTATTAATAGAACTATCAATAATTTAGCATTAAATTATACAAAAAGATCATTATTAATTAATGAATACTTCTAAGCATGAATAGAAGTCTTTTTGACACACAACTTGAATCTTTAAAAAAATGTGTTGCACTCCTGACCATAGAAATATGGATCTGAAGCACAGACAGATCCTGTAATTGATAAATCTATTTGGTAAAAATGTTCTTTGTGTCTTTATTATCCAAAATAAAAATCAGAAAATTATATAATGATAATAGTTTTTTCATGCTTGGGAGCAAAACATCAAATGTTGCACTCCTGACATTTTTGGGTATTCACATATACTTGACTCTCATTAATGCTGCTTGTGATTTATATAACATTTTTAAGTTTTAAAATGTATATCAGTTATTGTTTTACACTTCCAAAATTCTATTTTGTCTTTATTTTCTATCAGAATTTTACAATTGATGTTTTATTGGCAACACTACATTTTTTCTGTTGCACTCCTGACATGGTATACCATTTTTTTAAACATCAGGCATGACCACAACTTGATTAAACAAAAGTTATGACAGTCCACATTTAAAGCTCAATACTTTGAATATTATCAGGAAAGTCTTTATTTTTAACATGAAGCATTGATTTTTATTTCACAGATCTCTAAAAAATATTGAAATTTCAAAATGTCACAAAAAGGTGTTGCACTCCTGACAATTTTAGCATCATTTTTGGGCATAACTTTTTTGTTAATTGAGATATCAACGAGATATTTGGCAGGTATTTAGACACTATCTAAAGACATATGCTGAGACATAGAAATCTATTTTCATTGCCTGTATTTTTAGTGTGGGTTGATAAATATGTGTTTGGTCATTTTTTTTAATTCACCCTCTTGCATCATACTTCACTCTTTTTGTTTTCATTTTTGCATGTTTGTCTAGTAGAGTATTAAAAAGTGAATAAAATAAATTTACTGCTGCATTCTCATGAAGAGTTGGTGATCTGTTTTAGATCTTTAATTTCTCAAAGTTAATTGTGTCTTATGGGTGGGGGTGGGGTCTGCTGGGACCATTAACACTGCTCGATTTACTATCCAAGTCAATTACCTGAATTTTATGCTTGCTTTCTGGGACTGCTCTAGCTAACTCAGAGTAAAGTCTGAGAGCAGACCAAGGGACTGTTTGGGTTTTTCTGTATGGAACTGTTGAAGTATTTTACCTGAGAAGTTCTGAAATATCTCTTTGTAGCTGTTAAATCGATTGGCCTGTAACCAAGCTGTAACCTCACCAGCAGAGGCATCACAAGTCAAGGGCTTCTACAAATAAAACAGTCACAAAGGTCATATGTACATTTTAGTCCATATCTGCAAAACATCTAGTTTTTTTTCAATTGACAGCACCAATTCAAAGTATGAAAAGAAAAGGTTATTTATTGATGAACTAGTTCTCATTGTAATGGAGACCATTTTAGATGTCTCCAAAACATTCCCCTACTCCCTTTTGGTGCCTCATTCCCTAAAAATTTCAATAAATTAGGTAAAGTCTTTGTATTTTAGACAAACAACTCTAAGTATTTTAGGGGAAGTGGCAAAATTACCAGATCCAGATTTCAGTGCATGTGCATGCATATGATTTCAAACATTTTCATATACATCACCTCATAGTATAATATTGTAGAGCTACATTTTAGATCTCAAAGAATTTCACCAAAAATGTAGAAAGTTACAGCACTCTGAATATTGACCATTCAGAATTCAGCACAAGTGCATGCAAGTCCTCATGTTTATGTCTGATGAAACCTAATTAACTTAGGGACTCATATTATGTACATACTTTCTGAATTTCATATTTTTTCTTTATTAATGAAAATGAAAAAAAAATATTAATAAATACTTACAATCTCAGATTAAAGCACACATGCTTGCACTTATTTTCCAGATTCCTCACATACAGTAGTTGGCCATAATTTAGTTCCCAAAATGGCCGCCACCGTGAAATGTTGGCTAGCCTGTTGTAATGTAAAACTTAAATAGCATGCAAACAACAATACACACTTACCTTAAATTACTAGTATTTTGTTATATATCCTTTTGCTTTAATTACGGCTCTGATTCTCTTTGGAATACTTTGATATAGGCTTTTTATATAATGCAAAGGAAGTGATGCCCAGATTTCATTCACTACTCTTTCAAGATCTGACTTGTTGTTGATTTCATTTATGCGGCGTTTGATGCGGATTTTCAAAACTCTCCACACATTTTCTATTATATTCATATCTGGGCTTTGTGCAGGCCAAGGTAAAATGGGAATATTGTTGTCTGCTTTCCAGGCATTACATTGTCTTGATACGTGGCAAGGAGCATTATCTTCTTGGAATATCCAAGGGTGATTTCCAAAGTTTTTTGTTACCACTGGCCACAAATATCTATCCAAAGTTTCAATGTAAATATTGGAATTCATGTTTCCATTTATAAGTGTTATTGTTCCAACACCATTATAGCTGATACAGCCCCAGAACATAGCAGAGATTGTACCTTGCTTCTCTCTGCATGTCCTTAAACATTCCTGTGCATTCTCCCATTAAACATTCATTAGATTTTCTCCACACATAAACTTTTTTGTCCTCTCCAATTACCACTTTTGTTTCGTCACTAAAAATTACTTTAGACCAGTTATTTTCAACTGTCCAACACAATTTCTGTCTACAAAAACTGGTCCGCCGAGATCTGTTTTCTCTCCTTATCATGATTTTCTTAGAAACAACATGTCTTTTATAATTATTTTCAAACAATCTTCTTCTAACAGTCCTTGAAGAAATATTTTCAACAGAATTGTTGTTAAATTTATCTGTGAGGTCTTCCAAAGTCTGCCTTCGGTTGTACCATCCGAAAAAGTCGACGAATGGCTCTGTTGTCAGTTTTTCTCCGCCTGCCAGTTCTTGGAAGGTTTTCTTCGTTTCCCCTTTTTTTCACTCGTTTTATAAATTTATTTACAGTCCTTGCATTAACTCCAGTGATTTTCGAGATTTTATGGCCAGAATAACCTTTCTCAGATAAACTTATGATGATTTTTCTCACCTCTGGTGTCAAATCTTTTCCACGGCGACCCATTTTGTTAGCAGACGATTATCAACAAACAAATTGGAAATAGAATTAGGAAAATAAATTTAAAACCAAATTCGATATTGGTGCTTATATCCGGATGCAGAAAGGTAAGAGTTTTTAACGTATTGAGAAACTATGGACAAAATATCATCGCCAAAAAGATTCACGAAAACATCGGCGGCCATTTTGGGAACTAAATTATGGCCAATTACTGTATATATTATAACATATAGTACGTGCCTTATTAATTATAATGTATACCCATGTCTTAAATTTCAAAGTATTTTACTGAAAAGTAAGAGAGATACAGCCTATAAAGTATTAGCCAATCAGATTTCAGCACATCTGCATGAACATCCTTGCATTCAATTTTATTAGTAGAATAATGTAGGAACCCATTGTACCTATCTATATTCTAAAGGATCATAATGTGTGTTACATCCTGAACGCCAAATAAATTGAGTCCTCTCAACAACCAGGTAATATAAAATACTTGTATTCTACATGTATGCCACTCAAACGGAGAAATATGAGGGTCCTGAAAGGTCAAGGTGAGAAATCACATTATGAAACCATCCCATCAGTAATTCCCTATCTATAAAAGTTATATGTGTTCCTAAAAAAAAATATGTTGATACATGTTCTACAAATAGCAAATGTATCTTCCCACTACAACAAAGTGGGATTTAGAATTTGTAGTACTCGCAGATATGAGGTGCTCTTAAGGTCTACATACAAAGAAGTAGCATATATAAACTACACTATAATTATGAATTATAATAATTATAATGAATAACTTAGTGCATTAACACCTTATAGTATATGAAAAAGTTTTTTTATTTATTTCTAGCAGACAGTTCAATGACACTTGTCAACAACATCAATTATTAGCCCTTGGAAAATTTTCTGTTTTAGTTTTATTATTCTCGGATTCTAACTTTGATGACTTATCCATGTATAAGCCTATCATATACCATCTATTTGCTTCGTAATGAGCTCAAACACATATGGTTGAATCTTTAGACTAAAGTCTATCTCCGATAGTTCACCATCTCTATCATGGTAGTGTTGAAACTCACAGTTTATCAGCTGTTTACAGAATAGCACCTGCAGCAATTGTCTCTGATGATGTCATAAAAAAGAGAGATAACTCTATCGCTCGCATCTATAAATAACAATTAATATTTGAACAGGTATTTGGCATCTATATCTGGATTTTTTTAAACAAACACAGCCATAAGTTGTCATTTTGTGCTTTTAATGAATTAAAAACATTATTTTAAAGATCTATTTTTACCATACTTGATCTTTACATCTAAGCCAAAAAACAATTTTGATAAACAAGTTTGCTTAAAAAAAATTACTAGATTTTGAAGTGACCCTATTGTAAATATTGTGTTGCACCCCTGACATCTGTTACATATTTCATTTAATGTTGTTTTAAAAATTATAACACACAATAACCCATTCTTAGTTTGTAAATCAGTTTGTCGTTTTGATATTTATTATCATTTATGGCAAGTTTTTCATATTTTCAGGACTTTGTGTTTAACTCTTTCCCACTCACAAGCGCCTCTCGACGCCTAGCCAGGATTTCCGCACAAGCGTCTCTCGACGCCCATCCATGATTACCGCACTAGTGTCTCTCGACGCCTATACAGAATTTCCGCACAAGCGCCTTTTGACGTCTTGTTATTTTAAGACTATGTGAAAACGAGACTATGACGTCGACAACTTTGGGGCAGGTATCAAATTGAAGCGTTATTATTGGCCTACAAAAATAAAGTATGTGCACTGTCATCAATTCACGTGTACCTATAAATAAAGATGGTTTTTACCTTGTATGGTAGGAAAAACAAAAGTTGTTTATTCAAAATGGCGGATTACGAACAATGTACGGTGAGATTATTTCTATTCACGCGACGATTTAGATAAACTTTTATGGGTTTTAGGATGCTGAATCGAATACATATATTCATAAAGAATTCATTTGTGCAGAAAAAAATAATTCGGAACATTATAATTGACCAGAAAACCTTCGACATTTCATGGCGTGCGAGTTGATTAGCGTGTGAAAGTCACATGGTCAGTATTCCGTAGCCGATTTTTGTGTGAAAACAACTGCAACAAAAGATTTCTTGAGTGATATGTTTTATCCAAACATTATTACAAACTATGTGCATCACTAGAATAAAAGTGCACGGCGAATAAATGCACAGAAGGGAAAGGAAAACCGTGTCTGGTATAAAATCACTGAAGCAGAAAAGAAGGCTTACTTGGCCAAAAAAAGAAATTAAAAAGATTATCTCTGTGTGTAAACTTTGCAGTGTGCATCTATGCAAAAAGTGGATCTTTTCACATACCAAAATAGACATTGAAACCTTTTTAATGACTGTAAGATGATTAAATTCTAAATATTTTGTCATGAAAAATGTGTGTATATACACTTACTCTTGACATTTACCCAACTTTTTCATAGTTTGAAAATAATGGATTGGCTTTAAATTATCATCATTGTAAATATGAGATTGTGCTGAAAATAAAAATACTTGGTTTTATATATTTTTACCCAATAATTTGAGAGTATTAAGAATAAATATAAAGCACTGTGATTTTTTTCTTTATTTCTGAAAATGCCTGAGTAAATGGGGTTATCACTGATGCTACACTGCTGTGGAGATAAGGCTGCAGCAGTGGCTTGCTACGGGAGTATACAGTAAGGCCTTATCTTAAAAGCTCTGAGTGGGAAAGAGTTAAAAATATGTGCTAAGTGATGTAAATTATTCTCTGAATTGACTAAAATGTCTGTAATTAGTTGATAGGCATAATGCTTTGAACATCAAATAGTATCAAACATTTTTTTTCAATTTATTTTTTAGCAAAGATAGATGAAGATCATTAATAATTATATAAATAGTTTTGTTGCACTCCTCAGACTGCAGTAAAATTAGAAATTAATACCATAGAACACAAAATTTCATAAAGTGTTTGCAGCGTCAAGTGGTAATGAAATTGTGCAATATTTATACATGTAGTCCAATACTTTATAATTAAAACACATGAAACACAATATTCCCTATTCATATCAAAATACTAGCTAAAATATCTTTAGAAGATAACATATATTTTATAGTATATTTTCCTTAACAGGACAAACACTGTAATCAACTGAGGTCAACCAGAAACATTCTACTCATCAATTTTTTCTTTAT